TCGTATTCCACAAGCTGCCTTACCTAACCACAGTACTACTAGTGACAGTGAAAATGAAGATACAAACAAAGCTCGACATCAACAAGGTCTACCACATGTAGCTTCTTTTATGTATAAAATTTGACTACTGGGAAAAGAGGTAAGTATTAAACTCTTCGTAGCATTTTCGGTGTTACTGAAATGCAGATCCGCCGACTTAGAAATAGCTTAGTAATGAGTGGATGTTCTCCGCAAGATTCCCGGGGCAAGCATACAAATAGGCCTAAGAAGACAGACCCTGCTGATATAGAAAACATAATAACTCACATGTCTTCATTCAAAGGCCGCCAAAGTCATTATACATGGAGACTGAACAAAAAAAAATTATCTATTATCAGATAAATAAGATCTAGGGCTCAAATTATTGCTGGTTTAAATTCTTATTGTACAAATGAGCTCTTCCCTTCCATACACATTTAAATTATCAATTAATTATATGGAAAAGTGACACAATTTACAAAAAAAATAGAAAATACTTTAAATTTAGAATTTGCACTCCTTATCAGAGACGACGCAGTCGTATTCCACAAGCTGCTTCACCTAACCATAGTACTACTGTCACAGTGGAAATGAAGATACAAACAAAGCTCGACATCAACAAGGTCCACCACATGTAGCTTCTTTTATGTATAAAATTCGACTACCGGAAAAAGACGTAAGTATTTGGCCAAAGCTCTTCGTAACATTTTCGGTGTTACTGAAATGCAGATCCGTTGACTTAGAAATAGCTTAGCAATGAGTGGATGTTCTCCACAGGATTCCCGAAACAAGCATACAAATAGGCCTAAGAAGACACACCCTTCTGATATAGAAAACATAATAGCTCACATTTCTTGATTCAAAGGCCGCGAAAGTCATTATACATGGAGACTGGACAAAAAGAAAATTTATCTTTTATCAGATAAATAAGATCTAGGGACAAATTATTGCTGGTTTAAATTCTTATTGTACAAATGAACGCTTGCCCTGTCATACGCGTTCCATTATAAATTAAAATACAATGGTTTAATAATTATTTAAATACTAAAGGTGAAGTCTAGTTAAATATATGGAAAACTTAATATTGTGCCGTTAAAAGAGAAGGAATAACCAGTGCATGTGGCGGAATTCAAAAATCTGTGACAAAATTAGGAATAAGTATATTATGGGAAGTCTAGGGGTGGTACAGATTAATTGCAAGATTAAAAGAGCATAGGTTAAGATGGTTTGGGCATATTCAACGTCGACAAGTCCAGTACGAAGAATTGCTGATCTGTTGGTTAGGTGGAGAAGACCAAAAAAATCTGGGACAAGACGCTTAGGTAAGACATGTCGGTAAAGGGTATTGATATTGGTACAACATAAGGTACAAACTTATGGAGAAATATAATTATATAATTAGGAACGCTGACTCTGCATATGGATAAAAGCGGAGAGAATTATGACGATGTGTTTTGTTGATTTATCAAAAAGCGTTCGATAGGATAAAACAGTGGGGTTCAAAGGAGTAGTGAGGCGCAATACAAGGTGTTGCTTCCAGATAATACCTCTAGCCTCTCCTACTCAATTCCTATCCTCACGTCCAAGAAGTGGAATCTTGATCACACGGATTAACCCCGGTAAACCTGAGCAAACCAAAGTATTGCACAGGAACTATTGAAGTACGAAGTAGACATAGAAGCACTCCAAGAAGTCAGATTTAAAGTGCATGGTTGCATAAATAAATAAGAATACAGTATGTACTACTGTGGAGCAGAAAGACAAGGGAACTTTTGAGTGGGTTTAATGGTAAACCATAAATGCCGCTAGTCAGTATTGGGTTTCACTCCAGTTAATGAAAAATATGCAAAATACGTCCACAGGGAAAATTTCATAATATTACAATTTTTAATATCAATGCCCCAACAAAAGCAGCAGATGAACTAGTAACCGATCAATTCTATGACCAACTACAAATAGAATGTAAAAACGTACACAAGAGAGATGCAGTTATAGTCCTCTGGGAAAAGAGCCAATATATGCAGAATCCTTTGGTAAGTATAGTTTACATGATATTACCAGCAACAATGGTATAAGAGTGACACAGTTGGCAATGGCAAACAAACTAAAGTTGTTAGTACGTGTTTACCTCATTAAAATATTCATAATGGAATCTGGATGATACCTGGTACTAATAAGTTTAATAAAATTGATCACATATTAATATCTAAGTGGTGGGCAACCCCGTAACGGATGTTAGAATTTATAGAGGCGCAAATTGCGATTTGGTTATATGGAAGATAAAACACAGAATATCAATGGTAAGAAAAGAGAAAGGCGCGAAACAAAGAGAATGGAACACATATATGTTTAAAAATCCTAAAAGGAAGAATGAGTACCATTAAAAAATAAAAGTAATATTAAATGAAAGAGGAGAACAAAACAACATTGAAGAAAAATGGAATGTCATCCAAACGACAATTACAAATATGGCAAAGAAAACATTAGGTGAAACCTCAAGCAAAAGAAACGGGGAATGGTTTGACCAATATTGCCAACAAGTAATAAATAGCAAAATATAGCTAGACAGAAATGTCTACAAAGGGATTCCCAATTGAATAGAAGGGGATATGAAGAACTCAGAAAAGATGTAAAGAAAATATGTAGAAGGAAAAATAGAGAAATGTTGAACAGAAAAATACAAGTTACAGATTATAATAACAAAAGAGAGACTAGTAGAAAATTTTACAAGGAAACCAAGCACTACACTACCCTTGCAAGGACAAAAATAGGGCAATTATCAGCGAGAAACAGATTATAATGAAAAGGTGGAAGAAGCATTTTAAAGGGCTGTTAAACCCAGAAAAAGAATTGAACGAAGATGAAGAAATAATTCTCCACATAGCAGAACAACTAGTTGAGCAACCAACATTGGAAGAAACGGTAAACGTCATAAAATATCTAAAAAATAACAAAGTACCCGGCTCAGATAGAATAACTGCAGAACTGATAAAGAATGGTGGACATACGATATGGCGGCGTATCCATAAACTAATCGACCGCATATGGACACTAGAAGTCAACCCAGAAGATTGGAAAGTAGGAATCATACTTCCTATGTACAAAGAGGGAGACAAACAACTCTGCAGAAATTATAGGGTATAATAGTTTTAAATGTCGTCTAAATTAGGAATTATATACAGCCGCATACACAAACGACTGTATTAATACAAGATCAATGCAATTATGCGAATATGCAGATGGTGTTGCCGTAATAAGCCGCAACAAAAGGGTATTAAGCGAAAAAGTTATAGAACTGAAAAAAAAGCTGCTAAAAAAGTTTTGGTCTATATATAAATGAAAGCAAAACAAAATATATGAAGTGCGCAAAATCGAATCAACATGAGAATCTGAAGGTAGACAACTATACCTACAAATATGCCTCCACTTTTACCTACCTAGGTTCAATAATAATGACAACAACAACATCAGTCAAGAAATACAAGCACGGATTCTTAGCGGTAATACGTGCTTTTATGCATACAAAGACTAAATAAAAAGTAAGTTACTGAGTGGTGTGTAAGCTTAGAACCTACAAAACAGTTATTAGACCAGTGGTCATATATGGATGTGAAACGTGGACGCTCTCAACCACTGATGAAAATAAACTGAGAATATTTGAGCGCAAAATACTAAGGAAGATATTTGGACCAACCCAATGCAGCGATGGTTCGTGGAGAATTAAAATGAACCACGAGCTGAATGAACCAATGCAGATCGCAGATGTTGTTAGATTTGTAAAGTCACAAAGACTAAGCTGGCTTGGTCACCTAGAAAGAATGGCAGATAATTGAGCTGTAAAAGTAGTCCAGAGATGGAAGCCCCAAGGAAACAGAACAAGAGCCCCGTAAAAGATGGATAGAGGATGTAGAGATGGATCTTAAAACTATGAACATCGGGCAGTGGCAAAAGAAAGAAGAACTTTATTAAGCAGGCCAAGACTCACAAAGGATTGTAGCTCCATTAAAAGAAGAATAAGGAATAAAACAGTATCCAGGTGTTCCAGGTATTTTTGTAAATAATTTAGCTTTTAGTAGATATTTTGATAGATCGCTTTTAGTAGATATTTTCTTTCATTTTTAAAACTTTTGATTTACCAAGATCTTTCTTGTTTTTTAATTATTTTAGTTCTTTCTTAATATCCATTATATTCATTCGTGTGTATTTTAAAATCATATTAGTTACTTATTTTTTACTTTTCGAAAAGGATCCTCCTTCACCTTCATCTCTTTTTATGTTGTTTCCGACATTAGTGGATGCACCACTATCAATTTTTCCCATTTAATGTTTTAATCATTTTTTTTCTAGTCTTTTTGATCAACACTGTGAAAAAAATCGACTTTCAATAAACTTGTCAGAATACCACTTTTTATCAGAATTTATTATCTGAGTAGATATAATTACAGAAAGCGATTGTCCGTCAATGCGTCAATGCAAATTATATTTTTATAACGCATACAAAAGTAAAACCGTACACCTTGTATACTAAATGGACATTATAATATATAGTATAGACTTGATCAATATACAATCTATTCATATCTGCCGTCATCTACCGAAGTATAATCCTTCTGTAAGCCAGATACGATTTCAACCGCACAGTCTAAAGGCGAAATCATCGCCCTTAAATGCCACCCCGCACCCCCATTACTCCTGGTCCCTCCGGCATGAGAATCTCCAGCTGCATCCATCAGTAGTCCCAGTCTCTCATTAATGATGATGTGCTTCCACCATTCGGCAATCTACCAACACCGCCGTGCTGAACCGTATTCTAGGCCCCATTTCAGCCTTCGGACTACTTCACTTCTCGCTACTGCTACAAGGCCCTCTGTCAAACGTGATAATAAAGCGCCCTATAAATCTTACCAAAAACTAATTTTCGGCTTAACGAAATTTAGGTGTGATGCTTTTTTGGAGAGAAGCGGAAATTGCTTGTGTCTTGTTCATATTTTTTTCATTTTCCTGGCAAAAAATTTTAAAGGTCTTAGAACATTGTTTATTACTGAATTAAAAATGATTTTACATTACAATTGATTAATAATTGTAAATATAAAATGATTTTCTTGATATACTACAAGACAAAAATTTGGAGCCTTAAATTTTTTGATTACTTGCAGTGGTTAATCATTTTCTAAAAGCAAAATAGGAAAAATTTTATTATGAAGCATTTGAAATTTAACTATCTGATATTGGTCTGAAGCTATTTTCTTACAGCATGTAATACATTTACTATTTGTACAAATGTAATTCTATAAGAGACACTCGTTCATAATGTTTATTTAGATGCTGGTATTATTTTTATACGAAAATAAGTTTGCATGTACCTAAGCATGTAAAATTTATCAATTAATATCAATATTGTGTTTGTATGCAATCAAATTACGGTAGGTACGTGTGATGTTAAACTAACATTTCTGTTTCTTCTTCCACAAGGCACTGGGGGAACTCAGGGGACAGAATTTGAGTTTACACAAAACACTTAAGTGTTTATCGCGCTGATCTATACAAGACTGATGTATGACGTGCGTCGGTGCGTGTAGTCTGGTAGCTACGCTTCTCTTAAGTCTTATAGGGCGGTGCTTACAGGCCGTATTATTTTACATATTTAAGACATATTATACACACGTTATTAAAGAATTAAATATAAAAATAAAATGATAAAAAAATTAATAATAAGAATCTGTGTGGAGGGACGTAACACTATTTTTCTTGGAAATAAGCCACAATTGAAATTTAAAAACAATGTTTACTGACGTTTCAATTTGCACTTCGGAAATCGTTTTCAAAGTACAAATATGTTTTTTTTTTGGAAACGATTTCCGAAGTGGAAATTGAAACGTCAATAAACTTATTTTAAATTTTAATTATGGCTTATTCCCAAGAAAAATAGTAATTTCATTAACTATCTAATATTTGCAATATCTCTTTATTTTTGTATTTCTAGGTTCTTTGTTTAAGTTTAAAGAGGTTTTTATTGCCGACTACGAAACTGGACACAGTTACTTACTTAATGTTTAATAGATTTACGTTATATATTTAGAGAGTATATATGTTATTTAATATTATTCATATTTTCTATATATATTTTTCTAAGGTTTAATCATAATTAAATAATTTTATATTCTCTTTATATACATACAGTTCATCCGCTGAATGAATTCAGGTAAAAGCAATTTGGGCATCCCCTGGAAAACGAGTAATGTCGTCTAATCCTTTCACTTCCGGTGCACCAACACCAATACAGATGCAATCGCGACCAAACGGTCTTTGTCAAGGCCATTTTTTATAACCACTTCAATTAATATTGAAGTACTATCAGCAAATAAAGTAAAGATCTACTGTCTAATATGTATAGAGAAAACGGTGTTCGATGTCCTACTGGTTCAAGAATTCTATCGAGTTACTGCAAGTCGCAGACCAAGGATTTGAGATATGAGACTTGGACTGAAGAGACCACACGACCAGTATGGTAGCGCAGTCTTCGTCAGGTCAGATACCGACATAGTTTTCACATCTTTAACACATCCAGGTGACATCGAGATAATCACAGTAGAACTAAAGTCTTGTACGGTAACGTCCATTTACAAACCGCCAAACTCTGACTTTTTTTGAGAAACTGGATAACTTTTAACGATCACAGCAAATAAAATTCATACTGAGCAACTGTCACAGTATTGCGTGGAAATAACGAAACATATTCCAATGCCAAAGAACTAGAAAATTGGGCTGAAAACATTGAACCTCAAACTTATTCATGATCCAAAACAGCCGGCGACTTTCAACGGCGGAAGATGACGCAGAGGTTATAACCCAGACAATATATTTGTCAGCGATAGGATTGGTGACCAGGTGACAAAAATTGTTGGAAGCGCCCTGCCAAAAACACAGCACAGAGCAATAGCTTATCTTTTGAACGCGGCAATCAGACACAAAGTTGTTCCTTTCAAGAGAAGGTTCAATTTCACTAAAGCAAAATGGAAAAAATTCGCTGCACATTAGATTGTTCGAGTGTAAAGAAAACGAAGTGGTCTAACTTTAAACGACTGGTGAACATAGGAATTGGAAAACGTTGCTACAATTGACAATTCATTCACAATCCACAAGAGGAAAAGTCCTAGAGCTCGTAAACATCATAAAAGAAGCACTACTGAATAGCACTACTATAGAAGAATATGAAATTTACATGGGAAGATTTAGAGACATTACTTAGAAAATAAAAGAAATAATAAGTGAAAAGAACATAGCCAAAAAAATAGCCAGAAGAGCAAGAAATCAGGAACATCAAAATAGGGCAAAACGACTGAATCGATCAGTCACCTAAGTCAAACAGTCACCTAATAGAACATAGAACCCAAAAAGGGATAATTAGGTAAAAGAAATGGAGGAATGGTGCCAATATATACAAGAAATATGAAGGCTCCAAAGAACTTTAAGAAACCCTAAAAAATATATTCCCCCACCACACGGAGGAATCGTCTACTTTGTAGAAGAGAGAGCCGAAGTGATAAAAAGGACTCTTGAGAGAGTGTGCATACTGAATTATCACCAAGACAAAGACATAGATTTTATTGAAGAAGTCGAAAAAAGAGAACTAGAAACGCCCGAAAGAACAAGAAGAAATCGTAAATCCCACATCACCACGAGTAATAAGTGAACTGATCAAAAAAGTTCAGCAAATAAAGCACCTGGACCAGACGCAATCACTAACAGAGCCCTGAAGTATTTTCTTCGAAAGCAATTGTAAATATAACCAACAACAAACATATACTAAGATACAGGCTCTTTCCAAACCTATGGAAGGAAACCCATGTTATCATCATACCAAAGCCAGGAAAGAACACATATTTTCACAAAATTACAGACCGATTAGCTTACTTCCAGCAGTCAATAAGGTAGTAGAGCGAGTAATTCAAACCAGACTCTAATCAGAGACAGAGAGGTTAGGGTTAATGCCAGAAGCATTATTCGGATTAAAAACTCAACATTCCAATCAACTACAGTGACAATCAACATACAGGAGCAGCCTTTCTGGACGTAAGCAAAGCCTTCGACAAAGTGTGGCATGAAGTACTGACATACAAAATAAGAGATTATGGATATAGCGGGACCATGGCGAAATTCATCTCGTACTTAAGCGACTAGAGATTTAGGATCCAGATAGGTTCTACAGTTTAAGGACCAGTTCTATTTAAACAGGAAATCCTGGAAGCTAGATTACCACAGGTACCATTAAGAAAACGGCAATAATCTAAAAGCTTCAATTGAACGTACCAGTATTGTTGCTTTAAGAGCCAAGTTCCTTGGTAAATATATGAAAATTTTTAATAGTGTTCATTGTGTATCTCAAAGTATAATCGTAAAAGCCATAAAATTTTATTACTACATAACATATTTTGGCGTGAGAGATAAAACAAATAAGTCGCGATGACTAAGGAGTTTATTAGCTAAGATATACAAAATATTCGAGATCGTATGAGCTGTACTTTACACTAAGTGCAGATCCGACCCTGTCGCGCAATTCAGTGTGAAATTAAATAGTCAAAGTTTTAAGGATTCCTTTTTTATCAGGCATGTGTATTGCCAAGGTTCATAAAGTTTTGAAACATGTCTAAGTGATATTTAAATATTCTTAATTTATTTCTTTTTTCGAAATTTTCAAAACAAGATCAATAAAAATCTTAGTTAATAAAAGAGTTTATAAAGACTTACCATCTTTGTTCATACTAGCCTGAAAGCATTTATTTAATCTACAAGCTCTACATTGGTTTCGATGGGTCTTATCAACGGGACAGCGTCCTTTCATGTCTCCTGTCGCCTTACATGTGTAAACTCTATTTCGGTGTATACTACGTTTAAAAAATCCAGAACAACCTGAAAAGATAAATAGATAGAGGTTAGAGGTTACATTAAAATTATAAACTAAGGTGTTTTATAAATTTGTGTGTATTAAGGATTTAAATTTATATTTTAATATTTAAATTGTAAAGCGCTCTGATATTCAATAGAAGGCATATCAATGGAGAAGTTTTGAATAACTTGCGTTTTGCGGATGATATAGTAATAATGACGGATAACAACAATGATTTACAGAACGTAATACGGACTAGGAATGAATTTGAAAAAAAAAATAAATGCATGATCATGACTGAATCAGCAGATGCAAACATCCAATTGATTGTTGAGAATCTTGTAATTGAGAATGTGGATACCTACAAATACTTAGGAACATGGATAACATCAAATGTAGACCAAAGCACGTGCATCATTCGTTAAACTTAAAAAGTTTCTTTGTTGTCGGGATATAAGGTTAGGACTACGCCTAAGAATGCTTCGGTGTTACGTACTCACTACTCTTCTTTATGGCTTGACAGCATATACATTAAAACAAGTGTATCTAAATAAGTTGGCTGTCCTTGAATTTTGGTGTTACAGAAGAACCCTACGAATATCATGGACTCAAAGATATCAAACGTAGAAGTTACTAGAAGAATGGAAAATAAAGGTGAAATAATAGTGACTATCAAAAGAAGAAAACTTGAGTACTTAAACCATATTAGGAGAGGGCAAAGATTCTCATTACTGCAGCTTATTATTCAAGGCAAAATTCAAGGAAAGCGAAATGTGGGAAGACAAAGAATATCGTGGCTTAAGAACTTAAGGGAATGGTTTTGGTGCAGAACTTTTTAGGCGGCAGTCAACAGGGTCCGCATAGTCATGATGAACCAACCTTTGATAGAAGATGAAACTAAAAGAATAAGAAGGGATTTAAAATAAATTAAAGATGACTTCTTCTTCTTCTTAAGGTGCCTATCCGTTGGATGATGGATAATTTTTAATTAACCTGTCTAATAGATATCTTGGACATATTTAGCTTAACAATTAAATTTTGAATCGCAACAGTTCAAAAATTTGCAAATCTTCAGAAATTCAAAAAACAAGTATTTATTTGCATAATAATAGTATCCAAAATTTCAAAATATACTCGTTGTTCAAGATCTGTGTCTGTGTTATGCCTTTGTCTTTTTTGTCAAAATCTTCGCCTTCAATAATAAAACCAAACTACTTACAAAAGCTGTTCACGAAAATCTGCTACAGTGAAAACTAACCGACATCATTTGTTTAAAAAGTGTGTTAATGCGCAGGGATCACTTAATGCTCGTATTGGTCTAATTCTTTTAAAAGCCATGAATACAATTTAGTCTGTATTGTCTCAGAGATATTTTTTTTATTTCACAGAAACAAATAACATCAACTTATTACCTGCGATAATTAATTATTGAAATACTGATTAAAGTAAATATTAAAAAAAATCTATAATATCTATAAATGTGTGGGTCGGCACTGCCAACCCTGACAACAGAAACTGCTAGGGTGTACCTAAGGTGTGTATAGTTATAAAATGTACAGATCTTGCACTGAGTGCAAATTTTGTTCTAACTATAGGTAACACTAACAGAAAAACATACATACCGTCGCAACTATAAATTCCATAATGTTTTCCAGAACTTCTATCTCCACAAACTTTGCAAGGTATATCTAGAAGTCTGTCACCTAAAAAAGAAACTTTTAAGTATTGTACGTGACAATTGATTGTAATACAAATTAGGTATTTATAAATGGTTATTAAAAATTGTTCCAAAAATTTCATAGACATATCTTACAAATAGTAGACTGATTGCTGCAGTACAGTAGCGTTTCCGCAGTGAGACAGAGAGAACTGATGCAAAACAGTCCCTTCATCTCTTTCTAATTTGCCAGATTTATCGACGACGTGACTTAAGTGACCATTGAGAAGGTCACGTGGTCGATAAACCTGGCCCATTAGAAAGATATACAGGAACTGATTTGTGTCAATTTTATCTGACGCACTGCACTGGGGAAACGGGTTGGCATTGCAACGATCAGTCTATCTTCTATATGTCTATGAAAAAGTACAACCAACAAGTTGTTAAGTTGGGCACAGAATAATAAACAATCAGAATGTCCACTCTCAGATGCCGCCTTTGAAGTTTTTCAGCACGCGCGCCATGTTTTAGAAGGAAACACATAACACAGACATATGATTTGTGAGGTTATGTAATTGTTTATATTTATGTTTAATTATATTATAATTATGTTATTATATTTAACAATATGAAGACGTATGTTGGACCCTATGGTCTTGGAACAAGAAACGAAAGGGGCGACCGACTTATACAATTTTGTCAAGAAGAAAACATGAGAGTTACCAACACATGGTTCCAACTCCACACCCGTCGCCTTTATACTTGGAAATCTCCAGCCGATAGAGCTCAGAACATAATAAGAAATCAGATAGACTTCATTCTTATCAACGGTAGATTCAGCACAACTGTCAAAAGTAGCAGATGTCCCTTCTGACCACGGACTATTAGTGGCCGTCATAAAGATCGCTCTTTCATGCAAGAACAAGCCTGAAACTCAACAACAGATAGCACTGGATAAACTGAAAAACCCAATGATACAAGCAAAAATAAGCAATAAAATAAACGCACAAATTCAAATATTGACGACAAACATTACCGAAGATCTAACACCAATATGGAATACGATTACAAGTGCTGTAATAGACATCATGAAAAAACAACTTAGAGTACAAACGAAATAACAAGAGGCAAAAATGGATGACAGAAGAAATACTATTACTAATGGAAGAACGACGAAGACAGAAGAATGACCAAGATGACAGCAATATTCCTCTGCCCAAGAAAGTCAATGCAAAAAGATGTGAGGACCACAGACTCATTAGCCTGATGATTCACACTTTAAAGATATTCTTAAAAATACTACATCAAAGATTATACAAAAAATGTGAATGGGACATCAGTGATTCCCAGTTCGGGTTTAAGCAAGGTTTAGGAACACGAGAAGCAATAGTAGCAACACAGGTGCTGGTCCAAAATTGTTACGATCAGAGGAAGGATGTGTTCCTATGCTTTTTAGATTACCAAAAAGCGTTTGATCGTGTCCAACACCACAAGTTAATGCAGATTCTCAAGAGAGTTGATATAGACCAAAAAGACATAAGATGCATTGAAAACTTGTACTGGCATCAAACGGCACAGTTAAAAATAGACAATTCTATATCCAAACCCATACATATAAGAAGAGGCGTTCGACAGGGATGTGTGCTTTCCCCTCTTTTATTTAACATTGATTCGGAAGCCATATTTTAAGAGTCTTTGGAGGATACAGAGATGGGAATCAAGGTGAATGGAGTATTGATCAACAACATACGATATGCTGATGATGGTGTCTTAATTTGTGACAACATAGTCGATCTTCAACAACTTGTCACTATAATCGGAGAATACAGTAAGCGAATGGGATTAGAGATTAATACCAAAAAGACCAAATTTATGATCAACTCCAGAAACTTAGATGCACTTGAAAACTCCACCATAACACTGAATACTAAGTCCATTGAAAGAGTGAGTAAATTTAAATACCTGGGATCGTGGCTTTTTGAAGACTGGGCATCGGACAGGGAAGTAAAATGTCGCATTGAGCAAGCTCGACAAGCTTTCGTAAAATTCAAGAAAGTACTGACTTGTTCAGAGTTTGATCTTCAACTGAGACTAAGGTTTACTAAGTGCTACGTATGGTCAGTGCTGCTATATGGCGTAGAGGGCTGGACACTCAAAACGAGGGATATAAACAGATTAGAAGCTTTCGAAATGTGGCTTTATCGCCGTATCCTAAAAATACCATGGACAGCGAAAATCACAAATATAGATGTCCTTAAAAGAATAAACCAAGAACGCCAACTTTTCGAAACCATCAAGAAAAGGAAAACGCGTATCTAGAGTCGCATCATGCGAAATGAAAAATACCAGTTCCTCCAACTTATAATCGAGGGTAAAATTGAAGGCAAGAGAGGAATGGGACGCAAGAAAATGTCCTGGCTCCGAAACATAAGGCAATGGACAGGGATTAACGACATACAATCTCTGATACATATTGCAAGAAATAGAGAATTAATGGAAAATGTGATCGCTAACATCCATTAGTGGATTTGCATCTGAAGAAGAAGAAGATTTAACATGTTAATATAATTGTATAGTACCTATGTCTATGAATGCCGTAAGTCAATTAAACCGGGTTAATTTTTCTATGTACACCACATAAACAACACTGGTTCCCTATAAAACATGGCGGAACGTCTGCGCGAAGGAGATGCGCGTACTTAATTTTCCATGGAGAGTGGGCATTCTGATTGTTTATTATTCTGTGGTTGGGGTAAGGTTTTCAACAATGACTGTTGACTCACTTGACACTCACTCTGTTGACAAATAATATGAGGTTGGTGTTTTTGTCCCCAGAATATCAAATTCTGACTGTTTTGTGTGTTTTATTGTTTTATCTGTTTGTATTAGTGTGTGTTAACGTATATTACGTGGTTGTGTATTTTGTGTTGCATATGTATTGCATATAATTGTAGATGACATTGACAATCAAAGCATGTTACATTCTGTTGATCGGTTTGCTATACTTTTTTCGTCATTAAAAGAGGATAAGAGCTGCTTTTTTGATTTTTCTCTTTTTCGTGTCTGTTTATTTAATTTATTGATGCATTTTTTCATTATACTCTGTACTTGTCATCCCACGCATGTTTGCATATCTGAGATTTGTCAAAGTTTCTGTTTTTGATGTATATGTTTCATGCTCGTTTATACTAACATTTAATGGTCTTACGGTTTCTCCTACATAGAAATATTTGCATTTATGGGTTATTTTATAATTAAGGTTTATAATCTTTCTTGTGTGCTGTTGGCTTTGGTTTTGGATAGGATGTATTGCAGTCTGTTGGTTGTTTTGAATGTTATTGTAATGTTCAAAATTAACAACAATGATAATGTTTTTATAGTTGCGGCTTAAAAAATATAAATAGCAATAATGATTGCTAGCATAACCATCGTTAGAAGAAGTAAACATAAGAAGAATACATTTATTATTAATAATGATCTACGATTTGTTTATCTACTGCATTGTAACTAACTTATCCGACAGATTCGCATAGATAATTTTAAAGAATATTATAGATATAATTGTAAAAAATACTGTTTTTATTAATAATTACTGAAAATAAATACAATTGTTAAATTCGAACTACTTTTTTGAAGTATTTGCCTTCAGATCGAAAGATTTTTCTTTTTTTTTTGTTAAGTATTGATGGTTTTGGATTGTATATACATCCCCTAGTTACAATAATTTTTAATTAGAATTTCCCCTCCGATGTGATTTCCAATCCACCACCAAGTTTATTTTTTATTTTGTGAAACATGTATAAACCCTGTATAGAAAATCCTACCAATATCAAAAGTGCAATTCCCTTGATTATATATTAAAGTTGACAAGACAGAAAATCAGGAAACAAACATTTACATTCCTCGACTTCAAAGACAACTGAGACATCGAATTGTAATCCTCGTTTCCTTATTTAGATTCTTGTGCTTTGTAGAAGTTGCTATGGATACTGTGACAATATAACAGAGCGGGATCAGCTAAATATGTAACAAGAACGTACCTTTGGAAAATATTAAAGCTTAAAAATAAATTGTAAATTTTGTATTTTCTTCTTATTAATATGCGGATATTAAATTACACTAAAAGAAAAGACAGTTAAGTTTTGATTTTAAGTATAGTCACTCTGTGACGTTATTTCGTCCTACCAGGATTGATCAGAGCGACTGATACAGAAGCTCTACGTGAAATCAAATCTTAACTTCCTTTTCTTTTTTTCTGTTTATTTTTATGGGTGTAAGAAACCAAATCACCAAAGATTCTTGCTTAGACGAGAAGATATGTTGTGGAACGCAATTGTTAGATTCCACATGCCTTTCTTTTTATCTTCTTTATCGTCTGTTTGCCTTGCAATGAATAGAAGACACAGATTAAAGGAAAAATCTGAAGTTTTGTTTCGTCAAAAAATCTTTTAAAACTCTTATTAAAATTATCAAAAATTTCGCATTAAACGATAAAAATCAGAGAAAAAACAGAAAACTGATCAAAAACTAAGGGGTAAAGACTATCTATTAGATATAACAAAATTTATAAAACTATCAGAAAAGGGGAAAGAATAAGGAAGGTTATTGTTTCCCTATCACTATTTTTATATCATATTTTAGTAATTTATTACATGTTTTTAGTTTCTCGTAAAACCCATCTCTATCTTATTTCATTGCTTTTTTTGTAGATGCATATATATATATATATATATATATATATATATATATATATATATATATATATATTATATATATATATATATATTTAACATGCTTCGCTATTTGCCAGTCAATCGTATTGAGCACCATAGATCTGAAATTGCGTTTAATTCCTTTTTTCTCCCTTTATATTTTTTATTATAAAGCCTACCCCTAATATTTTGTTTACTCCTTTACTTTTGGAAAATATTGTGTCTTTAATTTCAGTGATTCTTTTCTAGCTGTTTTGTTCTTTGCAATTCTATGTCAAGTTAGAACTTTTCAATTTCTCATCAACTTAAGCTTTACTGTTTGTTCCTAAATTCCCCCAACATTCCAAATCAACGGGGTCATATGTTTGTGTTAACATTATTTTACTTTCCGTTAAAATTTTTTACAACCACTTCCATTACCTGGTTTCACTTTTTTGGTTACTGTGGTTGTAGTTTTTTAGCTGGGAGTAGTTTTTAATATACCTTCTCCCCTTATAATCATCATAATTGGCTGGACAATGTGTTATGGATCTTGGCATGCTCACAGAGAAATGACTACTACAGTCGATATATAGCAACTTCCCTCCATCTTAGCCTCTGTACTCTAATGGGTTACACAAGAAGTAAACTCTTCTTCAGATAGTTTAAAGTATTTGTATACTTTGAGTAAGGCATACGATGAGCTAACGATAGCTTAAGTTATTGTTGAGACCACAGAAGGTCAGTTTTATTTTAACAAAATCTCTAAATCCTCTAACAAAACACAACCACATGGGTTGTTATAAATAAATTTAATGGAAAACAAAAAAATCACAAAAATATCTGTCTAAAATAGATGATACTAGGATTACAGATTCAGATATAATATCAAACAAATTTAATAATTACTTTATAGATGCACCAGAAGATATAATTAGTAAACTAATTAACCCAAATTTAAATTTTTAGCATTCCAACGATTTTGTTTAAAATAGTTTATTTCTATCTTATATAACACAGGAAGATATCTGAGACATAATAATATATAAAATTAAAAACAAAGCATCGTGTGGTTTTGACGAAATATCAGGTACAGTAATTAAGCAAATTGCGTTTCAGATTTTGACACCACTTGCTCACATTATAAATGCATCTTTTAATACTGGTGTTTTTCTCAGTAAGTTGAAAACTTCTATCATTTCAGCGGTAATAAAAAAAAGATGATCCTGAATCAACAGCAACAATAGACAACTATTCCTTTCAGTTTTTGTTTATTCATTAATACTTAAAATTAAATCAAGATTGTGGTTAATTCCCAGTAAAAATAATATATTGTATTAAGATGATACCAGAAAATAGCTTCCGATCAATATCAATACTAATTATTTTTTTGATCCCAATTTGGTATTGTAGCATTTTGGTTGTCAAGTATAAAGTTTAAATTGACGTGTTTCAAATTCCATTCTGTATAAGGTTTTAATAAGCGTTTTAAAAAATCTTCAAAGAAAAACAATTTATTGTCTCTTCGAATATAATAAACTATTAAATCTTTATTTTTAAAAATTGTTTTGGGTAAATGGCTTTCTCTACAAAAATATCTTCTCAAAAGCGTCGATTTGCATAAACAAAATCCAAGCTGTCTCTAACAGAATTAAAAGTGGGTATTTACATTGGCGGGTAGTTTTGTTCTTATTCTGTCCATAGTAATATTCAAAAAATCACTAAGTTTTCAAATAAAGCGGGCCGATCAAGCTATTAAAGGTTGATAGGCAATTTTTACTTTAGAGAGCTGGGATGCGCCTTGAGATCTAAATTCCTATTTGGAATAGGAAACCCCTTCCTGCTGTAACTGTATTGTATCATTTAATATAGGCATTATTTCATTTATTGGTCATTTATAGATACATTGTTGAAAACCTTAGAAGATTGAGTCCTTTTGGGATTTCTTTCCTCTGTAAATATTACCAAATAATAAAACAAAATAATTTGTATAATTTGTATTGTGAGAACGTCAAAATAAACCTATTTTAAACTAAAATTGTTATTAATTCCCATTCTTCTTCTTCTTCAGATGCAAATCCACTAATGGATGTTAGCGATCACATTTTCCATTAATTCTCTATTTCTTGCAATATGTATCAGAGATTGTATGTCGTTAATCCCTGTCCATTGCCTTATGTTTCGGAGCCAGGACATTTTCTTGCGTCCCATTCCTCTCTTGCCTTCAATTTTACCCTCGATTAAAAGTTGGAGGAACTGGTATTTTTCATTTCGCATGATGTGACCTAGATACGCCGTTTTCCTTTTCTTGATGGTTTCGAAAAGTTGGCGTTCTTGGTTTATTCTTTTAAGGACATCTATATTTGTGATTTTCGCTGTCCATGGTATTTTTAGAATACGGCGATAAAGCCACATTTCGAAAGCTTCTAATCTGTTTATATCCCTAGTTTTGAGTGTCCAGCCCTCTACGCCATATAGCAGCACTGACCATACGTAGCACTTAGTAAACCTTAGTCTCAGTTGAAGATCAAACTCTGAACAAGTCAGTACTTTCTTGAATTTTACGAAAGCTTGTCGAGCTTGCTCAATGCGACACTTTACTTCCCTGTCCGATGCCCAGTCTTCAAAAAGCCACGATCCCAGCTATTTAAATTTACTCACTCTTTCAATGGACTTAGTATTCAGTGTTGTGGTGGAGTTTTCAAGTGCATCTAAGTTTCTGGAGATGATCATAAATTTGGTTTTTTGGGTATTAATCTCTAATTCCATTCGCTTACTGTATTCTCCGATTATAGTGACAAGTTGTTGAAGATCGACTATGTTGTCACAAATTAAGACACCATCATCAGCATATCGTATGTTGTTGATCAATACTCCATTCACCTTGATTCCCATCTCTGCATCCTCCAAAGACTCTTGAAATATGACTTCCGAATAAATGTTAAATAAAAGAGGGGAAAGCACACATCCCTGTCGAACGCCTCTTCTTATGTGTATGGGTTTGGATATAGAATTGTCTATTTTTAACTGTGCCGTTTGATGCCAGTACAAGTTTTTAATGCATCTTATGTCTTTTTGGTCTATATCAACTTTCTTGAGAATCTGCATTAACTTGTGGTGTTGGACACGATCAAACGCCTTTTGGTAATCTAAAAAGCATAGGAATACATCCTTCCTCTGATCGTAACAATTTTGGACCAGCACCTGTGTTGCTACTATTGCTTCTCGTGTTCCTAAACCTTGCCTAAACCCGAACTGGGAATCACTGATGTCCCATTCACATTTTTTGTATAATCTTTGATGTAGTATTTTTAAGAATATCTTTAAAGTGTGACTCATCAGGCTAATGAGTCTGTGATCCTCACATCTTTTTGCATTGACTTTCTTGGGCAGGGGAATAAAGGTAGAGCGTAACCACTGTTGAGGATAGCAGAAAGTTTCATAAATTAAATTAAATATTTTGTGTACTGCTGAAGTTCCCCTTTAATCTTTAATTTCAATTTAATATTGCCTTTTCTATCTCCTCTTTGGTGATTGAAGGGCCAGTCAGCTGGTCGTCTGTATAAACTTCAGTCATGGGTCTTTCGTCATGGAAGAGCTCCTGGATATAATTTTCCCATATATCAATTTTCTCCTTTTCACCCAGCACTATCTGGTTATCCTGATTAACTATGCTAGTTGGTCTTCGTTTTCTGTATATTCCAGCAGTCTCCTTAAGCTTTTTATGCAAATTACGGTCGTCGTGCTGTCGCTGTAAATGTTCTAGATCGATACATTGTTGCTTAAGCCATTCATTTTTTGCTATTCTTATTTTTGCTTTGATTTGCCTGTTAATGTTTTCATACATATTGCTGCCATCTTGGTCATTCTTGTGTCTTCGTCGTTCTTCCATTAGTAATAGTATTTCTTCTGTCACCCATTTTTGCCTCTTGTTATTTCGTTTGTACCCTAAGTTGTTTTTCATGATGTCTGTTACAGCACTTGTAATCGTATTCCATGTTGGTGTTAGATCTTCGGTAATGTTTGTCGTCATATTTGAATTTGTGCGTTTATTTATTTGCTTAATGAAATTGCATTAATTCCCATTAAAAATATATAATCCCTTTTTAAGGCCACATATATAAAAAAGAAGCAAGAAAGGGAAGAAAATTATTATGTTACTTTTTTTTGTGTTTTACGTTTTAATTACAGTTGCTACAACTATTTAAAGAAATCAACAAATATTATTAAGAAACATTTTTTGGGTTATTTTAAGATTAAACTATGTTTTATCGAACCATAAAATATTAAAGTCTAAAACAGTTCTAGATTTCTGTATAAAATAATATCAGTTCAAGCTCAGTTCTCCCTTTATTAAAGGCAGCCAACTCAATGAAATTTGCTGAATTCCTAATTGGCTTTGTCTTTACGTTTTGGTTTCGGTTGTTTTAAGTAGAGACAGTTTGTGTATCTGGTACATCATGAATTAATTAAAGGATTTTCTGACTATTTAGCCGATTTCGTGGGCAATTCTACAGGTCCCTTAGACATTAAAAGTAGGAACTTGATTAAATGCATGAATTTGAATTAGCACATTTAAATATTTAGCACACGCTTGTATCGTTCGGTTTTAAAAATTACAATGGCAATAAAAATTAATTTTACTAGTAGGTATGTGATAAAAAAACTTACGTACACACACAGCGAGTCTCTTACAGCGCAAGCCATTTCTCGCTCCCTCTGCGCCAGCGATTTCTATCAATACTCTCATTTTGACTTAATTCTCTCGCTGCCACAGTTGCTTGAACCTCAAATTCTGAGTCCTTTTTTTTACTATCTTCTCTCTTCCATTCTTTGGAGGTGTCCATACAGGTTCCTCTCGGAGAAACCTGTAACCTCTAGAGAGTGCGTCCCCAGGTGGTGGATAGGGGAATGCCCGACCCGGTTTACCGGTGGGTAGGAGGGAAATAAAATGCCTCCCGTGGACCAACAGGTAATTCACCGAATGATTGCCGGTATAAGCAATCCCCCACTTATGACCAACGGCTGCGGGCGGATGAGTTAATAAGTGGAAGGGCACTCTTTTGTCCAAGGGTTGGGAAATTGGTCCTAAAGGCGGATGAATCGAAAAATATGTCAACGGCGTAAGGATGCAGAAGGCAACGGGGAACCACTGCATTAAAGACTCTTAGAGTACCCCTAGTAAAGTCATGAATGGCAAATGACAAGTAGAGTAAACAAACTTACTGATTATGGAGCACGGAATCCAAGATCCGGCAGGGGAGGAATAACTGTAGATCACAGGGCCTCCCAGGTCGTAAACCAGAGAAATCCCTGTGGACTTAAGACATTGAAAATAGCAACCTGGAATGTCAGAAGTTTATATGCAAGTGGTAAATTAGCGAACGTACTGCTTGAAATGGAAAACCTCCAAATTGATGTTTTAGGTATAAGTGACGTACAGTGGCCAGGTTCAGGCAAACAAATTACAAATAATGGAACCATGTATTATTCAGGTAACAACGAGGTCAATCATCGTTACGGTGTTGCTATCTTAGTTGCAAAAAAGGTCAATTACTCTGTGATAAGTTTTACTCCTTATTCTGATAGGATCTTATCAATACAACTACAGTCTAAAAAAGGTATAGTAAATTTTATTCAAGTTTATGCTCCTACGGCAGATAAAGATGACGACGATATCGAACTGTTTTACCATGATTTTTAACAAGTCTTAAAATCAATGAAAAAAATTCACACTACAATAGTAATGGGCGACTTCAATGCCAAAGTTGGCCAGGGAAGAGTGGATGGATATGTGGGGGAATATGGTCTAGGAAATAGAAATGAACGTGGTGACCGTTTGATACAATTTTGCCAGACGGAAGAATTTGTAATAGCTAATACACTTTTTAAGTTACCAAAAAGAAGGTTGTATACATGGAAATCTCCCGGTGATACAACGAATAGAATAATCCGAAATCAAATTGATATTGTCCTTATTAGACAAAGATTTCGTAATTCTATACTGTCTGCCAAAACTTACCCTGGAGCAGACATCGGTTCAGACTATAACCCCATAGTAGTCACATTACGAACCAAATTAAAACTGGTTAAAAAACCCACACAAAGTAGAATTGATATTAAGAGATTAAGGGAACCACAAACAAAGGAACAAACTGTAAAAACTCTTACTGAAAATATACGTAATGCCCAAGAACTGAATAAAAGTAGCTATAACATTGATCAGAAATGGGAAAATATAAAAGCAGCAATAATTAAAACAGCAAATGAAAACTTAAAACCAAAGAATAGAAAACATAAAGATTGGATGACTGAAGAAATACTACTATTAATGAATGAAAGAAAATCATTCAAAACAAAAAATCCAATTAAATATAATGAAACTGATCGATTAATAAAAAAGAGAATAAAAGAAGCTAAGGAGAGAATGTTACATGAGCAGTGCCAAGAACTAGAAGAAATTAAGAAAAAATATGACTTTTTTAACATGCATAAAAGAATTAGAGAATTAACAGGAATGAGAAAAAACACTTCAAACTAGGCAACTAAGAGATGAAAGAGGTGCACTTATAACAGATATAAACCAAAAAATGCAGAGATGGACACAATATATAGCACAACTATTTGAAGACAAAGAGAGAACAGAAGCACCAAAAGAATTTAAGGATGATACTGGGCCTGACATTATACGAGAAGAAATTGAATATGCAATGAAACAAGCTAAAGATGGTAAATCTCCCGGGCCTGATGAAGTTCCTATCGAATTACTTAAAATTGTGAATACTGAATCTATTGATCTTCTTTTGGATCTATTCAATACCATATATAGAACAGGTATAATACCTAAAGAATGGCTCCAATCAACATTCATACTGCTTCCCAAAAAAGTCCAATGCAAAGGAGTGCAATGAACATCGCACCATAGCCTTAATGAGTCATGTCTTGAAATTGTTTTTAAAAGTAATTCACAATAGAATACATAAGAAATTAGATGAAGGCATAAGTAATACACAAATGGGATTTAGGAAAGGACTGGGAACACGAGATGCACTGTTTGCAGTAAGTGTTCTTTCGCAGAGATGCTTAGATATTAATCAGGAAGTATATGCCTGTTTCATTGATTTTGAGAAGGCATTTGACAGAGTGCAGCATAATCGACTTAAAGAAATTTTATTAAATAAAAACATAGACAGTAGAGACATTAGAATCATCTGTAACCTCTATTGGAATCAAACAGCAAAAGTGAAAGTTGAAAACGAACTGACCAAGGATATCCAGATTCGCCGTGGGGTCCGCCAAGGGTGTATTTTATCACCCTTGTTATTCAATTTATACAGTGAAGCCATCTCAGAATTAGCGCTTGCCGAGATCAGTGAGAGCCTTATAATAAACGGTGAGCCACTTAATAACATAAGATATGCTGACGACACCGTCCTTTTGGCAGGAACACTAGAAGAACTGCAACACCTTGCTGAACAACTAAATATATATTGCAAAGATTATGGACTAAAAATCAATTTGAAGAAAACCAAGATCATGGTATTTACAAAAGCACAAAACATCAAAGTTAAGCTAATACTAGATAATACAGAAATTGAACAAATATCTTCGTACAAATACCTTGGAGCATGGATCACAGAAGATACTGATCAGACAAAAGAAATAAGATGCCGCATTGAAATTGCCCGGTCAACTTTTAATAGAATGAGAAAACTTTTTTGTAATCGCGATATCAATATATCGCTCCGGATAAGAATGCTTCGATGTTATATTTTATCTGCCCTTTTGTAAGAAGTTGAAGCTTGGACACTTAAAAAATCCAACATAAAAAATCTAGAAGCATTCGAAATGTGGTGTTACCGACGTATTTTGAAAATATCATGGATGGATCGCAAAACAAACGAACAAGTTCTCGAACAACTAGAAAAACAATGCGAAGTTTTAAATTTCATAAAAATCAGAAAATTGGAATACTTGGGGCACATCATGAGAGGTGAAAAGTACGAACTACTAAGGAATATAATGCAGGGTAAAATCAAAGGTAGAAGAAGCGTAGGTAGACGTAAAATCTCGTGGCTACGCAATCTCCGTGAGTGGTTTGGATGCAGTTAAATTGAACTATTCAGGCGAGTAACCAATAAAATTATAATTGCCAGAATGATTTCCAATCTCCGATAGGAGTGGAACTTGAAGAAGAAGAATACGACATAAACTGCTTTCTATTAATGCTTTCGACAATGCTGCCTTCTACTTTTATCTTCTGTCTGATCTCAGCATTTCTTAGAAGATATTCTACAGCTTCTTCTCCAGTAATCCATCTCCATAGCGTTTAATTTTGCTTTTTGTCTCTTATTTATCCTATTGTTATATCTCTTAGTATCCAGACTTTAGATCCATATGGAGACTATTGTCTATTATTGCCTTATAATTCAGACTTTTAGTATCTCTTGTAATTTAATTAGTTTATAATACGGAGTTTAATAGGCTTATGGCTCTCTTACCTTGAGCTATTTCTCCATTAGAAGTTCCTGTATTAGAAAATATAACAGCTAGATATTTAAAATACAATGCCCTCCCTCTAAAGAGGACAGTAGGCGAGTGGAAAATTAGTGAATAAGCAATATAGAAAAAGACAAAGTTGTCTACATTCTAGCTGGGACGAAAAAAAACCACATAAACTTTACTGAAGATTTGAAATCTGCTAGTATTTTATTTACCTAATATCTTTTATATCTAAAAGCAACAGCAACCACCACTGAATTTGTAGAACCAAATATTTTGATGGCCTTATAAGTTCGGTGAATATATTTAGCTTAAACCGAAAGTATTTCCAAGAACAACTAATAACTCCAAATGTTCAGTCACAAATTAACCCCTTAATTTGTAATCTCACATTATTCTTAACTTCTTAATCTTTTATAGTTTCACCGTGTATAAGTTTGCATTATATATATTGCAAAACCATATCGTATGATAATTTAATATTAGTTCATTTACCTACAACTAAATAAATTGCCGAATAATAATATTTTCTAATTGAACTTCGTAAGTGTCGCAATTAAGGCGTAGATTAAATTGTATTATAAGCAAAAGCTAGGTGGTGTGAATGAACGAAGCAATGACCTAAGGTGCTTATGTATCTATTATGTGTGAGATTATAAATTGGGGATTTGAGTTCAAATGAACACAGTCTATATTGAGTAGTTACCGAACGAACACCATATTGTGTAATTACGAGTTGCTGTCAATAAATAATCACCTTTACTCCACAACTTCAACATTTATTAACCCTACCAGCATCGATCGACGAGAAGCGGACAAAGGGGCATACGAACCGAACCGAACTTCATTACTAAGTTCGATATTTTTCCACCAAATATGTAATTCAACGAATTTTAGACACTTTGAATTTTGAGCACAAGCTTTGACTAGGATTCATTATTCATTTCAGTTTTTCAGTCATTCTTTAGCTTTAGTAGATAGACGATGAAGTAATCAGTTGCAAGAGTGATCTCCCAAATTTTGATATTTGTACGAGTGTTTTGTGTCTTTGGTGTACTTGTTTTACGATAGATATTCAGAAACTTTTTCCACTTGGTAAGCTATAACTAGTAAATTTAGATACTAGATTAGTTACGCTATTGACTAGTATTGACTATAATTTTTAAAAGGAATTTATTATTGAATTTATATATTAAAGACAAACCAGTGGTTTGACCAGGAGTGCGAACAAAGCTTGCAGCAGAAAGCAGTCAAGAGGCTGGAGTTACTAACACGACCTACAACAGAGAACAGAGAAGACTACAACAGAGTAAGGACTCAGACGAGAAGACTTTTGAGAAGAAAAAAGAAACAGTACCTAGAAGCGCAAATACAGCAACTAGAGGAGGAACATAGAATCGAGCAGTCTGGACAGTTTTATAGGGACCTAAAAACAATGAAGGACAACACGACCAACAGCCCAAGATTTATAAAAGATGATACAGGACAATTACTTACCGACGACGAGAAAATAAGCCGTCAATGAGAAAGATAACAACTTTTAAATACAGAAACTCCCACAACAACGGGGCAACACAGACAATACCAGTTAGCCGAACCTGAAATAGTAGAGCCCACACTAGCTGAAGTAAAGTCCCCAATTTCGTCCCTAAAAAATTATAAAGCCCCAGGACCAGACCGCATACAGGCGGAACTACTAAAAAAGGGGGAGAAAAGCTACATCTTGAGATATACCATCTTATAAGAGAAGTCTGGGAAAGAGAAGAAATACCGAAACACTGGCATGAAAGTCATATAATACCTATCCACAAGAAGGGAGACAAACAAATATGTCGCAATTATAGAGGAATATCGTTAGTCAATACAACATACAAAATTTTATCCACAATATTGTTTAGAAGACTAACTCCATACGCAGAGGAAATAATAGGTGACTATCAAAGTGGATTCAGACCGGGAAGGTCGACCATAGACCAGATCTTCGTCCTACGCCAAGTGTTGGAAAAAAACTGGGAATTCAATCGCGACGTACACCAAATATTCGTGGACTTTAAACAAGCCTACGATTCTGTTAGCAGAGAGGCATTGTGGAAGACCATGGTAGAATTGGGAGTACCTGGAAAGCTGGTACGATTAGCACAGGTGAGCACGGAGAACGCTTCCGCACGGATCAGAATTGGCAACACCACGTCGGAGGAATTCCACATTGACACCGGGCTTAGACAAGGAGATCCTCTCGCTCCCCTGCTGTTTAACTTCGCACTGGAACATGCAGTAAGGAAAGCTCAGCCACAATTGACAAACTGATTTGCCGCACAAGGATCAAAAATACTATTGGCCTTTGCGGATGACGTGGACACAATAGCACAATCCACCAGAGCTGCAAAAGAAGTTTTCACCCTATTCGAGACCGGAGCCAAGGAAATTGGTCTTAAGGTAAATTGGTCTTAAGACCAAGTACATGGTAGTTACGAAGAACCCAAGACCAAGGGTTAGGCAAAACGTAACAATTAACGAATAGCAGGAAACAGGACATATTACTCCTTAATGACCATCCTTAAATCAAAAATACTCTTAATATCAGCAAAAATAAGAGTATACAAGACAATAATTCGTCCCACAATAACGTATGGAAGCGAGACATGGACGCTGAACCAGCGGAAAACGACAAAATTACTGGTTCTTGAAAGAAAGATACTGCGGACTATCTATGGGCCTTGTAGAGAAGAAACAACAGGAGAGTGGAGAAGAAGACACAATAATGAACTCCAGACAATATATGGAGATGAAAACATAGTCCGCTACATTAAAGCAAACCGAATAAGATGGGCGGGCCACGTCCTAAGGTCAAATAACGAAAGACTTCTGAACACCACATTCTGGGAAAGACCCGATGGCAGAAGGTCAGTTGGCCGCCCAAGAAAGAGATGGAAGGACGCAGTGGCCAGTGATCTACGTAAAATGGGAGTGCAGCAGTGGGAAATAGCTGCTCAGGACCGACAACAATGGAGGGAAATAGTAAACGCGGCCAAGACTCACCTAGAGTTGTAGAGCCAAATGATGATGATGATGATAAATTTATTATTGAATATGATATTGAATATGATGTATGATACTTAAATATAAAAAAGAATATGTGTTTTGTTTTTGATATTGGTATATTAAGGTTCTTTGACGAAAATTAAATTTTCAATCGAATAAGCTAATAGGCATTTTTTGAAGTGTAAAAATATTATTTTTTTCTAGAAGTTATGCCTAGAAAATAATACAAAAAATAAAGCAATATATATTTTTTTACTCTTTGCCTATAACTTTTTGGTATTGCAGTCACATTGCTTCATGCCAAAAATTGGCATATTTTACCCTTTGAAAAGTTGTGTTAAAATTTGTTAGATTTTTTCCAATTTCTCGAAATTTGGTTACGAAGGGAAATTTTTCGAAAATTTGATGGATAGTGTACTTAGAATTAATTTACATTATTTGGTTTGAAAGAAAAAAAAATATTTTTACAAGAAACTTTTTAACCTGTTAATTTCTAGCTAGTTTTTCATTACCACGTTTCGGTTAGATGAAACTATCATCAATTTTTTTATTTCCTATGAGCGTCATATTGGATTTTTTATGGCGTCAATTTATTTTTAGATCTCTAATGATAATGAATGTTAAATACATGTGGAAAAAAAACTTGCAGGTTATTGAGAACAACTAAAGAAAGTGAACATTGTTTTCTTGACATGACCTTAAAACTATTTTCTTGAAGCTATGGCTATACCTATTTGGAGTCACAAAAAGTCATGCACAAAAATTAAAACACAAATAAATATTGAAATTTTTCACGTTTTTCGAATAAGTTTTGGAAAAAAAATTATATTTTGGGTTGCAAAAATTAATATTTTGGGCTGCAAAAAATTAATATTTTGCCCCCCACCCATCGAGCAAAAAGACAAAAGAGGGAATCTAATCGTTATGAAAAGGAGACCAAAAAAGTGGCCTCTGATGGCGGACATATCCGGAAACGCAAAGGCGCTAAATTTAAATTTTAAGACACTTATTAACAATAGCTATAAAATATTTTTCAGACGAGAAAGTTTTAATTAAATATTAACGATAATAGTCTAAAAAGTGACACAATTGGTAAAAAACTTCAATATAAATAAAATTTCATGTGGGAGTTGGGACAAACAATAACATAACCAAACTAAATTTGATTTCTTAAACAAGGAAAGAGACTGTCTTTCCTTGTTTAAAGTGGCCTCTAAAGATCGCACTTCCTGTCTAACAATATGTTTGCCCCCACTACCTTTACATTCCCTCTTTTGTCTTTTTACTCGATGCCCCCACCCCCAGCAGTGCAGATACTGTTCTTAAAAATGCAAACCTAAATTTAATAGAAATTTTTCCAGGAATATGAGTTCCTACACCATACTTATCAATAGCCTAAATAATTATTAACAATAGCCTAAACTAAAGGATGTGGAGTGGGTAAGAAAACATGAAGATATTGGGGTACCAGCATTTTTCTATGATTTTAGGTTCGCAATGCCAGAAAAGAAAAAACAATCCAAGCTCTCCGGCTCTTAATTGCAGAGATGAATGCGATTATAAAATAAGCAAACTTAATGTTCCATCAACTAGTTTAGACGTTTCAACAGGGCCTCCCTTAGGAAATAAGAAAGACAAAGAAGTACCAGATACCGAGTTATCATTCTTACATACTGATGACCACATTTATGATATTGGCAGATACGTGGGAAGTGTATCTAAGCTTTAAATTCAAGAAAAAATGTAATTGCTGAAAGACACTTGGGTGCCGCCTACAGATTATGATTTTGTGAGAGATGCTGCACATTTAAAAAGAAAATTTAACTATGAATTGTTGGACTTATATAGCCCGTGGCTAGTATATTCAAAGAGCTTGAAAGGAGCCTTTTGTAAGTTCTGTGTCGTCTTTCCTGCACCGAAAAGAACAATCAAAGGGACATTGGGGTCATTTATGATAAGGGTCTTTAATAAATACAAAGATGTCCACACATGTTGCAAAGATCATGCAAAAAAAATACCATAAAATGGTTAGCGAAGCTGCAGAATCTTTTTTAACAGCGAAACCAGTTGACATTCAGATCAACGAGTTTGCGAGCAAAACAATAAAAACGAACAGAAAAGTCTTATGTTCAGTTATCTCATGTATCGTCTTCTCAGGCACTCATGCTTTACCTCTTCGTGGGAAAGAATCGAGTGGGGGTGTTTTCCAAGACTTGTGTAACTTTCGAATTGATGTCGGAGACAAAATTTTGCAGGAGCATTTTAAACATGGCGCTAAGAATGGCTCATACAAGTCAGTAAGGATACAAAATGAAATAATTGACATGTGCGGCCGTGTAATGAGAAAAGAAATTTTTGAAATAGTCAAAAAAGCAAACTACTGCGCAATATTAGCTGACGAAACCGTTGGTCTTTCAAGCAAAAAACAGTTATTAATTGGTTTGAGATATTTTGATGAAGAAGAAGAAGAGATTCGTGAAGAATTTACAGGGTTTGTTCAGCCCGATGCTCTAAATGCACAAAGCATTGCAAAGGCAATTGGTGATTTCCTGATAAATCATGAAGCAGATCCACTCAAATGTGTCGCCTTTGGGTTTGATGGTTGCTCCACTGTGTCGGGAAAGGAAGGCGAAATTCAAGCCATTTTAAGGGTAAAATACAGCAAATATTTTTTCCACTGCGCGTCACAGATTAAACTTTGTTGTGAACGATTTGAATCGTTTAAATGAAATGCGAAATACTATTACCACTATTAAAGATATAACCAATTTATTTCGTGAATTAGTATTAGGAAGGAATACGATATCTCTTCGAAACTTACAAGGTAATTAGGGTTTTTCGAAAAAAATTCATTGAAATAGTACATACCTCATACATTGCAAAGCCTAATCCGTTGAAGGAAATTTGGCCACTAGAAAAACATCTTATCAGTTGCATTCTGCGGCATGCAAGTCAAAATTGATCGTCGCTGTCATTTTGATTGCAAAATATTCTAAATAACTAGAGCCTATATTGTCAATCGCTTACAATCTGCGCAATCTAATGTTTTAAAAGTAGCCGAACATATTCGTCAAATCATGGATATTTTTAAAAAACACATACAGAACGCAGAGAAAGTAACAAACACTTTATTGCATGAAGCCAATAAGATAGGAGATAAGCCTAAGCAACAGCATAGGACCAATCAACCAGCTGATACGTCTGGTGAATATTGGAGGCGATATCTGGATTTTATCATATCTTTTCTAAGGACACGGTTTTCCGAAGAAAATACGCCAGCCTTCGCTCTGAGCCTTCTGCATTCCAAGCATTTTTCAAAAATTTATTTAAATTGCCTTAAATTAGAACTGAGACAATACTTAAACTATTATGAAATAAATGGAATAGATGCAGAGCTAGAAGTATAGGTAGAACATTGGAATAAAAAACGATTTAATAATGAGTTAGACAACTTCAACGCCCTTTGAAATTTTTGAACTGGTTCGAGCGTCCACTACTTTTTATCCGTTAAAAATAAAAATTGCTGAAAATTCTCGTAACATTGCCTTACACTACGTGTACAGTTGAGAGGACGTTCAGCAATCTTCAAGGAATAAAAACATTGTTGCGGAGTACAATGGTGGAAGATAGCCTTAATGGGTTAGCTCTGATGAGCATTCATCGGAAACAAATACATATTACCAAAAAAGGAAAAGTTTACAAAGAAAATTTTACAAGAATTTACAATTTACCTGCATAAATTTTGTTTAAATAATAATGTTTAGGAACAGACAATTTATCTTGCGTCACAAATCGAAGGCTTTTCCAGGAGGAAATAAACTTGTTAAATTTGCATCACGTTTTTGTAAAAAGCATTAAAAAAGTTTTTAAATATTTAAATTATATTTAGTTTGCTTCATTTTTATATAAAGGGGTTAAGTTATAATTTTGGCTCAAAAAACTTTATTTTCAAATCTTTTCTGGGGAAACCCCTTCCCCCCTCTACCCTCTCAATGAAGGCTCACAATTTACGTCTATACCATTTTTCAAAGAAAAACACTTGCACGTCACTTGTATTTAAAATTTCCAGAACATCAACCTTGGAGTTAAAATTTTCCTATCACAGCTAATAATACGAAACCCATACGGAACTGTTCGATCTTTCATAGGCGTCAACATGGTGTAATAATCAGAAAAATATAATCATCATTATATTGGAAATTTTAGAATTATATTGATTGAATAACTAAAAACATTTGTTATTATTAATAATATAAATTTTATGAAATAACTCTTTAAGTCTAATATTCCACAAAATAATAATTTTAATTAAATATATTCGACAATCGTACGTAACTGATACGGAAATACTTCAAATTTTATTGACAGTTCAGCGACTGGCAAAAGTGTATAAAGTGTTGCCGCTTTTTTTAGAGTAAGAATTTTGTTTGTTTTGGTTTCTTACACAATTTGATCATAATAATATAATATATATTAATAAATTGTATTTATAAATACATATTAAGTTTAGATTAATAGCTTTAAAAACTAATTATTGTTATGTATTGTGATTGTGATAAGTCAAAACAAATAAATAGTCTATAGAAAGCTGATAAGCTTTCATATAAGATATATTATTTTGAACAAGAAATAATGGCGGGATGTTTTTACTATTAAAGCCCTAAAAGAGGTAATTTTAAAATTTAGAATATATAATTTTGTATTAAAATGTTTTCTTATGTATTTTAATGTGTTGCAGTAGTCTTAAAACTAAGTGTATTTACTGTTAATATAATAGTTTGACAAATAGTTGACATTTTAAAAATTCCTCACTTACTAACTATTCTGATGTTTTGGCAACGCTGTGGGGTTCTGACGACATAAATCCTGAATGACGTGCAAGCTTTTTTATGTGAAAAATGCTATATATTTATTATTTCTTATCTAACCAATTTTTTTATTTCCCAAATATGCCCCCCCTAGTTTTGATCCTGCGGACACCCATGGTAATAAATGTATATTTATGTATATTTTACTGCAAGCGTCTCGGTCACGCGTGAGATTGATTCGAACCTGTGCAAAATCATACAGCCGAGCGATAAGAAGTTTCTTATAAGAAATTTCTCCCCGGTGGGAAATCGAACTCGTTATTTGCGTGAAAAGTAAAAAAGTAAATAGACGTGAAGATAGCCACGGTTTTAGTGACATCAATCCCAAGTAGTATAATTTAACTATTTGTATGGGAAAATAAAATTGTTGTTTTTACTATTTTCCGTACAACTTCATAATATAATTGATGGATTCGACCGTTACTTGATGGAAATTCACTTTATGTAACAATAAAACACTGAAAACTTTGTTTTCGAACTTACACAAAATTTATTTTAAATATTATCACTACAGCTGTTTCGGCTGATTGCCTTTCTCAAGTGATCTATTTTGGCTTGGGTTTACAAATTTATAGTCTCTAATGTCTAACGAAATAGGTTGAAGAGGGGAGAACTGTTTGTCTCAACCTGGTCATTCAGAATTCTATCTGTGTTTTTTAATTTGTTGATTTCTATAGATTCTAACAAGGATAGCTTAAGGCTTTTATTTTGAATGTGAAGAATTTTAAATTTGTCATTAAAAGAATGATTATGATCTAGAAGGTGAAGTGCGTATGTCGAATCTGTTTTTCTATTCTTGAAAGCCCTTTTATGTTCTGCTATTCATTTATCAAAGTTTCTACCAGTTTGACCGATGTAAGTTTTTGGGCAGTCGCCACATTGAAGTTTGTACACACCACTATTTAAGCGTTTTTTATTTTGGCTCTTGTTATTTTTAATATATTTGCCTAGGTTGTTATTTGTTTGGAAAGCTGGTGTTATTCCTTTCTTTTTTATGTGTTTGGCAATTTTTGTTGTTATCTTGCCTGTATATGTAATCGAGCAGAAGGTACTGGGTTTTTTCTCTGGTGGTGGAAATACTAATTTCAGGGCTTTCTTGTGTAGTTTTTGATTTAACATTTTATTAATTGTTGAACATTTAACATTTTCAATTACCTAACAACTCCAGATTAATTTCATTTGATGTAAAAAATCTTTTTCCTAGTATCCCTCTTACAGAAACTTTTATTCTACTTAGTAAAAAACCTTTTAGACCAAAATAGTACAAATCCAATAATTACATCTGAAATTTTACATCTTCTTGAAGTTTGCATAAACCAGGACTACGTTGAATTTAATAATAAAATTTATACAAATTACAGTGCAGGACTTATAATGGGTAATCCTCTAAGCCCATTGCTATCAGATATTTTTATGGATCATCTAGAGACAAAGATTTCAAAACATCCCGTATTCAAACAGTTTTTATATTGGTGGAGATACGTAGACGACGTACTGGTATGTTTCACAGGAACTAACAGGCAACTCGACCAATTTTTATCATATATTAATTCACTTCATAGTCATATTGAATTTACAATAGAAACAGAACAAAATCAATCCATAAATTTTTTAGATTTAAAAATTAGCAGACTTCAAAACAAACATGACTTCTCCATATTTCATAAACCTACCCATACTGACACGACTATACACAATTCGTCATCCCATCCAACACAGCATAAACTGGCACCTTATCATAGTATGTTACATAGATTAACAGAAATTCCGATGTAAAAATACAACTTTGAGACAGAATTAAATATAATTAAGCAGATAGCAGTAAACAACGGATACAACGAACAAACAATTAATAAAATGTTAAATCAAAAACTACACAAGAAAGCCCTGAAATTAGTATTTCCACCACCAGAGAAAAAACCCAGTACCTTCTGCTCGATTACATATACAGGCAAAATAACAACAAAAATTGCCAAACACATAAAAAAGAAAGGAATAACACCAGCTTTCCGAACAAATAACAACCTAGGCAAATATATTAAAAATAACAAGAGCCAAAATAAAAAACACTTAAATAGTGGTGTGTACAAACTTCAATGTGGCGACTGCCCAAAAACTTACATCGGTCAAACTGGTAGAAACTTTGATAAACGAATAGCAGAACATAAAAGGGCTTTCAAGAATAGAAAAACAGATTCGACATACGCACTTCACCTTCTAGATCATAATCATTCTTTTAATGACAAATTTAAAATTCTTCACATTCAAAATAAAAGCCTTAAGCTATCCTTGTTAGAATCTATAGAAATCAACAAATTAAAAAACACAGATAGAATTCTGAATGACCAGGTTGAGACAAACAGTTCTCCCTTCTTCAACCTATTTCGTTAGACATTAGAGACTATAAAGTGTAAACGCATGCCAAAAATAGATCACTTGAGAAAGGCAATCAGCCGAAACAGCTGTAGTGATATGAGGTTAAAATAAATTTTGTGGAAGTTTGAAAACAAAGTTTTCAGTGTTTTATTGTTACACAAAACATATTTAATTAAATTTAATTAAGAATTTTAAAAAAGTTGGACAGAAGGAAAAAACGTTCACCTGCAAGATATATAGTGATAAATTTTGGAAAACAGCTATGAGAATTACATTAACATTAGAATAAAACCATTAAGGATGGTGGATTATAATAGCAGCGATGATTTATTTGTGATTGATAAATAGTTATCACGTCTCAATTAGTACGAACCACTAAATAAAACGTATTTTACCAAAAGTATTTCCAAAATATTTTGTTTATTTTTAATTTATAGCATAGATATAATTGGTAAAATTTCATATTCTAACTATTTTTACTCTATATCTAACTTATAATAATTGAAGAAATAAATTTGAGTAAAACATGTTTGTTCATAAAAATGGTACCTACTAATTTAAATAAAATTAGATCTCCTTACCTGTGCCCATCCTCCGGCCCTGCCCGGATCGCAGTTTACCCCAAATAGCAGGATCAATTTTGACGTTTATATTTTTCCGACTTTTAAATTTTGGTAAAAATTCAACCAATTTTCAGAAAATCCGACTAACTTTTTAAATTTGAAATCGGCAAGAACGGCGCCAAGACTAACTTTTAGCCTCCGAAACTGCGAGTCAAAAACGGCGCCTTGACGCGTCGTAGAGCGAAAATCGCGACTATCAGAGTCTCCGCAGGCCATTTTGTCACATCCCTGCTCGCTAGGATGTCATCCCCACCACGCTTTACAAGAGCTACCCCTTCTTGCAGGTTTCACACAGCACAGTGGCTGGGGTTGGTTATTTCTAACAAAATCATTAACTTGGTGCTCTGGACGCCTCTTTTTTGAGGTTCAATCTTTCTAAAGATGGCAAGTTTTTTTGCCTTTTGAATTTTATTGTTATGGAATGTGGTGGTTGGGGATTACATGAAATCCTGTTGGCGTTAGAAACATTAATACTCTGAATACTCTACATGAAGCTACACAAACCTATATTAAAATAAAAAAATAGAACACATATAATTTTTAACTCTCTTTTCTTTTTGTCAGTTAATCGTCTGTATTTAATTTCGTTAACGTACAATCCGAAGTATAAAGTAACAATAAAAATTGTTATTAGAATTAAATAATATGGAGAAAGATAATCTATGCCAAAAAGTAGTTAAAAAGTATGATATGTCTCGAATAATGTTTTGCGTAAATGCTAACATCCTTCGAAGATTCCAAAAAAATATCTGAATGCCAAAATATATTGAGTCTGCAGTCAGATATCTTAACAAAAAATCTTTTCTCAACAACGAACTAGTGACGAGATTACATTAATATGATCTACTGGAACTTCCAATATTTGAGTTAGTGATTATATGTATTTAGGGGCCGAGGGATGTGTTCCTTTTCTAATCAGCGTAAAGTTGAGCGGGGAAAGAATGAATCCCAGGGATGAATACGAAAGTCTTATGACCTTACACCTCCTAAAACTGTCCCAAGATCGCAGGGTACTCCCAACAATGATTGAAGGTGGCCCTGTTGAAACTGAACCCAATGAATCTAGACTAGAGAACTAGAGAGAGTCGATAAAAAATCCCCAAGCCAAGCCGTGAGACACCGTAGTGAAGGCTATAAGGAACTAGGGTGACAATGTCACAAACAGCTCCTTTGGGGCAACAGGTCGCACCCCATCGTATTTAGACAGCCTCGCAAGCGAGGCAATTCGAGACGTGGACTGTCGTTCCCTAGCTACTTGTAGGACCAATAAGGTTAAAAAAAAAACTCACGGCCAAAGGGTTCCCGAAACCCATAGGCCAGGAAACTCTAAAGCCAAAGCTACGGTTCCTTAATCCAAAGTGCAGGGAATTTCTAGAAAAAATCCGAAAGCCGAAAAACCAAGAAGTTCTAAAGAAATCTCACAAGCTGTATCGCAACAACTACAACTTGTGTCAGATTAACAGCTTTGGAAGACGTTGATCTCATGACAGACGAAAAGATTAAGGCTGCAAAGCTATCCGGCATATCACAAGCCAAAATCAGTAAGCTGGTGAGAAAGGCCAATATTTCTTATATACAAACCAAAAGGGCTGTAATCAAGACGCATTTCATTAAAACTGCTAAAAGAGCAAAATATATATCATCAAGCCAGTAGAGACTATCACAAAACAAAAGCAAACTCAAAAGGTCAAAAGTCCAAAAAGGCCAAGGTCAGACAGAGGAGCTGCGGCAGTACCTACTAACAACATTTCCAAAAGCCAAAATGGATGTGGATAAGCCTAAGGCAGTCCAAAAAGCCATCTTAATGGCTTATGAAGAAATTCAGGAAGCAAGACCTCAGGTTCGCTTCCTGAAGAGTACCCACAAGCCGAGTTTTCTAAAACTTAACTGTGTGGATGACACAAGTACGAGGTGGCTAAAGGAGGTGATTCCAATCCTAAGGCCCTTAGAGCGAGAATCTCTCAGGGTTTTAGTGGGGAAGATATACCCAAGCCACACTCATACACTATATTTGTACAGGATGAAGATGAGGAACGTGTAAGTTCAAAAGGATCCTTAATAGACTAAGGATGAGTAACCATGTGCTCAGGATACATATATGGACAGTTTGGAGTAGCTAACCTTCGAAAGGGTTTTGTGGATTTTCTTAATGAATTCTGAATTTCGAGAAGAGCTCCAGAAACTCAAAATGTCACTCTTTTTGGAGTGGGAAAGTTAACTTTCCGAACCAAGGAAGAGATTCGCCAAAATGTACGATAGATCTAATCTAAGCAAAGACATGACACAGTAGGTCTGCTAACTGGACACTGTGAGCTGAATAGACAGTTGAAGCTGATGGGATTAATACAATAGTTTTAATCAACTGTTCTTATCTTTTATTTTGTTTTATTTTTAATATTAAAACAATCGACCTAAATTAATAATAAAAATTACTATTATTATTAATATCTAACAATAATAAAATAATTAATAAAAGAAGCTAAGGTATTACTGTTTTTTTAATTAAAGGTAGGTCAAAGCCTGAAATGAAATATCTCACTACCAAAATAAAAACTTGCGACCGACATTTTAATTCGGAAAAATCTTACGAACAATACGAGTGGCTAACTGGTTATGAATTTAGGAATAAACTCTTTTGCTGGTGTTGTTTGCTCTTTATGAATGAAAATGGTAGTGAATTGAAAAGGCAATTTTCATAAGGTAGTGAAACGACATGTCATGTCTAAAGCTCACTTGAAGGCCGTCATCAAAGAGAAAGCTTTTGGAAAAAATAGAATAGAACACACTTTGGATAATTCAATAAAAGTGAGTCGTCAAAAACATAATGATTTAGTTGGTAAAAATAGATACATTTGTTGACGCTGTGTGTTTTTTATGGTTCCTTGAACTTGGGTTCAGAGGTCACGATGAAACCAGTACATCAGCAAATAGGGGCAATTACATGGATCTTATTTCACTAATTTCTAAGTACGATCCTTGTTTTAAAACTGATCTAGAACAGTCCAGTGTGTTTCAAGGCACCTCAAAACGAATTAAGAATGATTTGATCTTTGCTATTTGGACAGTAGTTTCAAACAAAATAATTGATGAAATTAAACAAACACGCTTCAATGCAATTATTGTAGATGAAACAACTGATGTTACCAATTTTAGCCAGCTCTCTGCAATAGTACGATTTGTTAATAAAGACGGAATTGTGCAGGAAAGATTTTTAGGTTTTATAAATGTATCAGAAGATAGAACGGCAGATGCATTATATAAAATTGTTTGTGAACTTTTAAAATCGATTAATGATAATAATAAGTTAATTGCCCAAAGTTATGACGGCGTTGCGGTTATGGCTGGGCATTTGGGGAGTCTACAATTGAAAGTGCGAGAAACATATCCTAGTGCGATATTTATACACTGGTTTGCTCACAAACTAAACTTATTTTTATCTCAATCGGTCATGCAGATCAAAGAATGCAAAGTTTTTTTTGCAACTTTAAGTTGAACAGCTGCTTTCTGTTCTAAATACTCTAAACGAGCTCAAGCTTTAGATACAATTGTAAAACGAAGACTACTAAAAGTTACAGTGACGCAATGGAGTTACAACGGCACACTAGTATTAACAGTTTTAGAACAGCGCGATTCTTTGATTGAATTATTTGAGAGTGTTTTGGAGAATGGTGGAAAGTGTGATACAGAAACCATAAATAGCTCGGGAGGATTTTTGGATAGTTTAAAAAATGATTTTAATTTTTTAATCTTGCTTTTTTCTGAAATATTTCCATTCTCAGAGAATTTATCATGTACTACAATGTAAGATAAACGATAGTGGCTTCAGTATAAAAAACATTAACGAAGACTTTGAAAAATGCTGGAATAATATGAATGCAAGAAGTTTTGAGCATAAAAGGAAACGCATACGCACTGATAATGTTGGAGATGTTGGCACGTGCTACCGTCGACTATATTTTAATGCAAAAGTCACATTTTCCTGAAAAACAAATAAAATCTTTGATACGTCTTTATGGACAATATTTTGATTTGATTTCATTACGTTCTGAGCTAACAGATTTATACGAAACTGAGGACATTGACACAAAAAAATAATGCCAGTGAGTTACTAAAGTTTTTAAAAACAACTTCTTTGGACAAAGCATATTCGGAGGTAGTGAAATTATGTGAGTTAGTAATGACCATTCCAGCTACTAGTGCCTCTGTAGAACGTAGTTTTTCAACACTAGAACGAATAAAGACTTACTTAAGAAACTCGGCAGGACAAGTTTTCCTTTTTGGCAATTGAAAATAATATGGTTAAAGAAATGTCATAATATTCAAGTTTTTACAATGAAGTTATAGACGAGTTTGCGAAAAATGGTAGAAAAATTGAATAACATTATAAATAGGTGAGTTTTTACATTTTTTTAAAATTGTTTCCCTTGTTTTAAATTTCTGGTAATGGGAATAATATCTAAGAATAAAAGAATGAACAAAAAACAATATCATAAGTAGACTTCGGCAAATATGCATATTGCATATTTTGCATATTGTGCATAAAAGTTCAGATTTTTATACTGTATTTGAAAATTTTTAAACATACCAATTTATTTCAATTCTTGTATAAAATTTTGTAGTCATTTTAATCAAGAAATGATCTCTAAGTACGTAATCTCTACAGGTACAAAACATTTACAATTTCAAAGAAGATCAATTTAAGTAGCCCTCAACATTCTTAGAAAGTCTCGGTCACTGAGGCATTCAGTTATTGGATAATCGCTAAGGGTTCGCTAATTTGCATTTTATGATCTAATCCCCAAATCTATCTACAATTTATTGTATCTTAACAGCAGGTAAACGGCTAATAGTTTTGTTCCTAATTTAGGGATTTTCCAAAATCTCCCAGTTTATTGAATTAGGTACCTAAACATTTCTAATTTGATGCTCAGATTTGTAAATCATTTTTGTTTTGATATTCAAAGCGTAAACACTCGTTGTGCGTAACAAAAAGGAAGATTGTGATTTTATAATGCCTAAAACAACCAGTGCTTCAACTTGGATTAAACCTTATAAAGAGCTGTCTATGGATATGGGAAAAATCTACTGTTCAGTCTGTGGCAAAATTGTAAGTATCTAATATTTTCTATTAAATATCTAATATTTCATACATACAGGTTGTTTCCAAATGACACTTACAACGTTTGACTGTAGATACTTCTCGAAAAATTGAACAAAACGATATAGTTAATGAGGGGTCAAACTTATTTACTTTTCGAGATACAGGGTGTTAAAATTTAAAAAAATTAAATTCTTTTAGTTAATAACAACAATAACTTTAAAACCAATAAACGTATTTACTTGAAATTTAGTACTCGTAGGTTGTTTTTAAATGAAAAATAGCTTCCTTTAGTGAGAAAAAATTGTCCATGGTATGATACAATGGTGTGTATTTAGAAAAATTTTTCACCTTTACTTTTTTTTATGAAGTCAGCTATTCTAAAACACAATTATTTTTATTGTAATTGAATTAACAAAAAAAAACTTTTGTTGAATTTTAAAATAAGTTATATGATGTACTAATGGTTAGTAACAAAAACTAATTTGTGGATTAATACTGCATTTAAAACACTTAGCGAGTGTTTTTTTTCCAAACCAGTTATTTGATTAACCAAAAACACCTTGTATATTTTTATATTTTAAAGGTTGGGTTAAAATAAAGGTTTTTATTTTTATTTATAGATAGCATGTGAGAAGAAATTTCAGATAGACCAACATGTGAGAACTGCTTCACACATTGCAAAAAAAGGAAAAATAGAAGGAAAACATCGAACTTCAATGGCTAAATGTTTCCAATCTACTTCAAAAAAATTAGATGAGCAAGAAACTTTAATGAAGACTAGTGTCTGCAAACATACCGCTTTCAAAATTAGCAAAAATTAAATTTTAGTTCGTTTCTAAAAAAATATTGCAAACTTAATGTTCCAAGTGATCGGTCTCTAAGAAGAAATAATGTGAACGGGCTATACTCGTCGGTGTTAATTAATATTAAGGAAGAAATTGCAGATAATTATTTTTACATATCTGTAGATGAAACCACTGATTCCTCAGGAAATTATATTGCTCATTTATTGATTGGTGTTCTTAAAGAAGATACCTTACCAAAATCTCATCTTATTTCATGCCAGCAACTTGAGAAAACAAATGCTTTAACAATTTCGCGTTTTATACAAGAAACATTAGCAACTTTTTTTCTTCCGACAACTATTCCTTCTAATAAATTACTGCTTATTTTATCGGATGCTGCTCCTTATATGGTGAAAGCAGGACAAAATTTAAAAATATTTTTCCCAGATTTAATACATGTTACTTGTGTAGCGCATGGATTAAACAGAGTTGCAGAGGAAATACGAAAAAAGTTTCCTCTTGTAAATACCATGATATCCAGTGTCAAAAAAGTATTTCTTAAATCTCCTATAAGAATTCAACTTTATAAAGAAATGCTACCTAACATTCCTCTTCCACCACAACCTATTTTAACGCGATGGGGAACATGGTTAGAAGCAGCTAATTTTTATGCAGATCATTTTGTTAAAAAAAGAACATAATTGATACGTTAACAGATGAAAGTTCCCAATCTCTTTTGGATTCTAAACAAACTTTTCAGAGTAACTTGCTTCAACAAGAACTTTCATTTATAAAATCAAATTTTAGTTTTGTTCAAAAAACAATTACTTAGTTAGAATCACCAAAACTGTCATTGTTCGAAAGTACAGCATTAATAAAAGAATTTGCGTCATGTTGTCGGAACGTTAGAGGTAATATTGGAAAAGATATTTTAAAAAAATTTGAAGCTACTATGGAAAAAATAAAGGTTACCATATTCTTTCTGAAGTAGTCAGTGTTCTAGCTGGAAATATTTCGGAAACAATTAATTTAGAACCAAATGTTTTGGTTAGTTTGAAAAATGCTCCCGTTACATCAGTTGATGTTGAACGAAGTTTTTCCATATATAAATATATGTACTCAGACAGAAGCCACAAGTTTTTGTTAGAAAATTTTGAACACCACTTGGTCATTTATTGTTACCATACCTAATTCTAAATAAGTTTATTCATACTTAAAAATGATGTAGTTACTTTAAATAAATGTAAATCTTAATGAATAGTAGGAAATATTTAGTTATGTACACTTTTTTTTTTTTAATAAAATTGTTACTATTTTACGATTTTTTTATTTATTTGTATGCATATTTTGTAAAATATTTGCATATTTTCGGGTAAACACGTGCATATTTATGCGCATATTTTCTACATTTTTATTTGCATATTTGCCGAAGTCTAATCATAAGATAAAAAATCATAAGAAAAGAAACAAAAGATAGAAACATAGGAAACATTAAAAAACACCAAAAGATACATAAAGAACACGAAGAAAAAAGAAAGATAGAATTATTAGAGCAAAAAGTTTAAGAAAACAGAAAGAAAAAAGACCAAACGAAATGAATATTTTTCTCAGTGTAGACCAAGCTAATAAAAAATACTTAATTATACCTATATATGGAGCTTTTAAATTCTTATTCGATAATTTTCTTTCAAAATATGATACGTTATAAAGAACTTTTATGTTTAATAACATATTTAAGAGTAAATTTCTTTTGCCTTTATTACATGAGTAATATATTCAGTTCATCCCTCTATGTCCCTGCTTCCAACTCAACCAACGTATTTAACTAAGCACATTTCAAGCATCAGTTGAAGCGAGAAGCTACGTGACTGTAAGTGACGTTCACCTTGTTGTCGCTGTCATTGGCTTAGATAAAATGAAACCACGCCCTCGATACGGTCACCCCACCCCAAGTCGTTCCGCCCATCTGCATCTTCCCACACTTTACAACCGCGGGTCACTTGATGCTACCGATGCCGATTTACTGCGGATTTGCGGGTGTTGCAGACATAAATCGGCCGGCGCCTCTGCCAACAAAGCTATTCATGTAAACGATCTGCCGATGGAGGGATCGGGGTCGGGGGGAACAGAAATTCATCCGATAAAAGTTGATTTCATGCTTCTGATCCTATTGCTCACCAAGATCCATATTTCATTGAATTTGTCACTTCACACATATTTTATTTACTCTCTCTAATGGGGTTAATCCACAGCCACCTAAAGCTTACAAGCCGTGAACTAAAAATGGCAACGCCGCATCAGCTGTTAGAAGTAGTCCGACTATAAAGAGCCCATCAAAATAATAAATAAAAGAGGAACATCATAATATTCGCTATAAAGTTAAAATTAAGTAAAAAAATCGAACAAAATAGTTTGATAAGGTACATATATATATATATATATATATATATATATATATATATATATATATATATATATATATATCACATCTATTAAAACTGCAAAACATTGAATACAATGAGGTGTAATATTAATAGAATTTAAAAGTAATACAAGTGCATTCAGCTTACATTATTTACATAATTTACGTTAAAAAAAAAGAAAATA